TCACCGAAGGGTCAGGATGGTTTGAATTACTGTCTCCACAGCAGCTCTGTGCTTGCGATCCATCTCCCAGTCGTGGAGCTGGGCCCTTCCCTCCCCTCCCCTCCCCTCCCCTCTCGTCAGCATCCCCAGCCTGGCCAGAATGGGGGAGCTCCCCAAACCTGCGGACCCAAGAGCCATGAAAGGGCTCCACCTCCAGGGCCCTCTCCCTGCAGGAGATGCCCGGGCTACGAAAGGAACGCTAGGGACCGTGGCGCGACTCTCCAAGTGGGGACGATTCCCTCTCTTTCTCCTGTCTACCTTCTCCCTAAATCCCCGGTATGGTTAAAGGGCGTTCCTGCCAGCCAACCTGCCCACTTGCCTGCCCTCCCCCTGACCCTGGCCCACTGGTCTGAGGATGAGGAGTTAGACAAAGAGGAGACGGACGTCTCCTCTCCCGGGCAGCGCAGCAATGCCTAGGGGACGGCCTTGGCTCCCTGGGCTCCTCCCTCCTCCAGTCCAGAAAGGGCAGAGCTGAGGCAGCACATTTCTAGATCCGTGCCCTTGCGGGGTGGGGGAAGGGGATCAGATGCCTATCTGCAAGGCTGGAAGGAAACTGCTAGGTAAGGGGAGCCAGGACTAGATGTGAGTGTGCAAGACAGTGTGTCAGATGGGAAGGGCAGCCTCTGCCTGGGCTGAGCACTCCCTTCTCACAGCACACTGAGGCTCACGGTAGGTCGGAGTATATGTGATCTTGGAGGCTGGCCTTGTCATGCAAATGGCATGCCTATCAGTCCTGGGGGTTTTCCCCATTTTTTGTTCTTTGTTCCAGATCTCAAAATGCTCCTTTCTCAATTCAGTCTCACTCTTTTCTCTATCCTTTTCACACAGACCAGGTGGGGTGTAGAGGTGGGTAGTACTTTGGTCAAGGTCTCTGAAAGAGGAAGGCTTGCCTTCCAGCATACATGTACATGTATCAAGGCATAGCCCTGTGTTGTCATATATGTACAGGTAATGGAGGGAAGGAAGGAAGGAAGGAAGGAAGGAAGGAAGGAAGGAAGGAAGGAAGGGAGGGAGGAAGGAAAGAAGGAAAGAAGGGAGGAAGGAAAGAAGGAAGGAAGGAAACAAGCATTTCTTAAGCACCTACTGTGTTGCAGATACTGTGCTAAATGCTTTACAAATATTACTTCATTTAATCCTCACAACAACTCTGAGACATAAATGCTGTTATTATCTCCATTTTACAATTTAAGAAACTAAGGCAAACAGAGGTTAAGTGACCTTCCGAGGGTCACACAGCTAGTAAAAGTATGAGGCTAGATTTGAACTCAGATCTTCCTGATTCCAGGCCCAGTGCTCTATCCGCTATACCACTGTCTCCAGATAAATTGATTTGCATGTGTGTACTGTACCCACAGTAGACCCTCAATCAATATCATTTGTTAGGCCGATAAAGTGAAAGCACACATTCATATCAACTTAGGCATATGTGTGTATATATAGCAAAGTATAGTGAAAAGAACACCAGGTATTTAGTTAGAAGACTCTGAGTTGGAATTCCAGCTTTTGCTACTTACTACTTGTATGACCTTGGGTAAGTCATTTCCCTGTCTCTGGGCATCAGTTTCTTCAACTGTAAGATGAGAGGATTAATAAAGTGATAGTATTAGAGCTAGAAGAGACGTAAAACATCATCTAGCCCAACTTTCTAATTTTACCGATTAAGAAATTGAGGCACAGTGATGTTGAAAAATATACAGTAGAAGAGCTGGGATTCAAACCCAGGTCTTCTGACTCCAAATTCAGCACTCTTTCCACAATGCCACTATGATCCTATTATGGTTAATGTTCAACAATGGGCTAATGTCAAACATTCCCCAAAGAGACCAACCAATCTGCAATATGTAATATAAGTTAAAACAAGGACAATTCTCCATACTACCTCCCTTGAGTATGAGTAGCTTAATGTGCCACATCACACAGGAAATATAGAATTAGGACATTAAAGCTGGGTTCATACCTTGAGGTAGTATGGATAGAATGCTGGACTTGGAAGTTAGGTAGACCTGGATTCAAATCCTGCCCCAACACTTACTAGCTGTGTAAGTCACTTCCCTTCTTTCTTTGGGCCTCAGTTTCCTCATCTGTAAAATGAAGGTATTAGATTAGATAGTCTCCAAGCTCCCTCCAATGCGTCCATGTTAATCTAGTTTCTGGATTGTCTTCTGGCAATGCTCTGTAGTATGGTCAGTTAGAGAGGGTGTCACTCTGCTAGTGACGAACAGAACTTTCTCTTACAGACGATGAGAACAATATATCCCCTCTACTTTCATGCTCCAGATGTGGCTTATATTGCTTTGTGCCAGATACACAAAAGTAAATCCTTACAGTGCCTATGAATAATTGGGAGGAGGCTCCATGCGAAGGGAAGGTTTTCAGGTCCTGGAATGCAAAGGGCACCAGGTCCTTAGCTTTTCTTCCCTGCAGAGGTCAGAGAATGCCTCTCCCAGGGCAGGCCTGCACTTCTCTTGAGGTTTGCTGGAAAAGGGAATCAGATCTGGACATGCGGGCATAGAAAGACTGGACAGTAGACATCCTGACTTTAATCAATCTTGCATATTGACTGGTTAGCTTGTCTTATTTATCCAATGTAGTACTTTATATATAATGCCCAGGCCATTGGCATCCTGGGACTTCTCTACGTTTGTTCCCAAGGGAACTGACTCAGAAGGCAATGTGCTATCTCCCTTGCATGGTATAGTGGAGAAAGAGCTGGAATTGAAGACCTGAGCTGGAACCCAGCCTCTGCTAATTACTAACTCTGACCTGGAGCAAATTATTTCACCTCTCTAGGCATCAGTTTTCTTTATCTGTAAAATGAGCAAACAGGACTCAGTGATTTCCAAAGTGCCTTCCAGCTTGAAATCCTGAGATCTTATGAGTTCAGCAGGACTATCCATGCAGAGAAAGACTCCGAGAAGCGTCTGAATTCTCTGCACTTGTATATGGGGGGCTACTATGGAAGCCCATGGGCTAAACAATGCTGTCTGTGGGGGGCAGTGTGTCTGTGTGACTCCAGATCACCCACATAGGTTGATATTTTAAATGCAATCTAACATCGAAGTGATTATAGGACTCATCCTGTTCTCCAGAAGACTGTCTACCCTAAAAACACACGCTTCTTATCCTAACCTAGTCATGTACACTGACATTCACTTGGAGCCAGGTGGTCCCAGGTTCCTGACCTCACCACTCCTGCCAATCCTTTCATCCTCCTTCATGCCCAACAAGCAATTGTGCCCTCCCTCCACCAAGGGAAGAGGCTTCATGGCGACTTCTACCCACAGTCCCCAAAGTAGATTTCCCCCAGCAGTCCAACTTCAAGATGGCAGGCTGTTGTTCTTGGTTCTAGCATCCAAGAGAGTTTCGCTTGGGACCTTTTCACATTCCCCCTAGGTAAGGGAAGCATCCCCCTTTTCTGCTGACTTCTCCCTCCTCCAGAGCCATCCCTCTCCCTCCACCAGCAAGAGAGGAGAAGTGTGTGTTTGTGGGGGCAGGTCAATAACCAGGACTGAACTGGCTTCCTTTAATGAGCTGCATGGAGTCTACTCCAATCACAAAGTCAGCCTACAAAAGGAGGTGTGAGCGGGTGGCCAGCAGCCGAGCAAGAGCCTAGCGGAGCCTCTCAGGTAATTGGTTTATCTATCTGGAAGCAGGGGGAGCAATCTCAGCACAGACAGACTAGCAGTAAAGTCTCTTCCTTAAGGCTATTTCCTTTGTCTTTTCAATTGCTTGCACATCCATGTGGGAGAGAGACAGAGAGAGAGGGAGAGAGAGAGGGAGAGAGAGAGAGTGTTAAAGAGAGAGAGGGAGAAATGTTAATTTGTGAATTAATGGCTTTTCTCAGCGGAATTGTAAATTCAAATGTCACCTCACACGGTGACACCACCACCACCACGCTGCCGGTCTGCTGAAGAAGCAATGATAAGATCCCCCACCTCCCTCAGCGCCCCTCCCTCCCCAAAGATAGCTGTGGAGTGGAACATGCTACTTTTAATTTGCAATAACAACACAACAGAGGTATGCAGTAATGACTGCCTTTTCCCAACCCTCCTCCCAGCTTCCCAGCTCCCCCCACCCCCAGGTCAGTTGGCTCTCCCATTTTCTTCCCGCCCCCCACTCCCCCCACCTCTGCTGTTCCCAAACATAGCCTTTAGTTTAGGCCAGAACACTCAGCTAAGGTGTCCCCCACCCCAGCTCCAGCAGGGCCTGATCACATTTGGGGTGAGAGGAAGCTCTTTGGAACTGAAGATGCTGCAACCCTCTCTTCTCCTTCAATAATCAGGGAATTAATGACCCTGAAGTTAAAGTGAGGCTGATAGTCAGGCCCTGCCCAGCTTTGGGGAAAAGGCTTCATTGTTTTCAAGCAGGAGGCGGGCAGCAGTGAGGGAGATTCATGGATGGAGATTGAATATGCAATTTTCTTTCACCTTGCCAAGAGCTGCCCCTGGGCTGTGCCTGGCCTAAATTTTTCCTTTTACCATCTCTGCCTTATCCGGCCCTCCCACCTCCCTTCCATTCTTTCCAGAAAATTACCTTCAAAATTGATTTCCACTTTTACAAACAAATATAATGGGAACACGGGAAAAAACTTGGGCCGTGATGAATTAGAGCTGTCAGGGGCTTCCAAGTCTCCTTTGCTTTTGTTTTACGGCCCGATCTGCTCTTTGTTTTTCCAAAGGCTGGCAGAAGTGCCCCCACCACCACCTTCACTGGCAGACCTGATAGTGGGCAGCACCCCATTCTCTTCGACTAGCCCACTATAGCGCTTCAAGATCCCCCATCCTCTACCCAGCTCACCAGTGACGACCCCTGTGCTCTAGACCCTGCAAAGTTCCTTGCTTGTCTAGGGAGGCCTGGTTCTCCTCCTCCCTGACTCCCTGGATGCCTAAGCATAAGATAGTCTCTTAACTGCCCAAAGGATTCCCCCAAACCCCAAGACCATGTTGTCCCAACCCCCATACCTCTTAAAGTCCAAACCAGATGCAAACCTCCACCTCCTCTAATGTGGGCAGGATCAGTGTACACTTTGACTAGAGCAAATGAGAGACAGACAGACAGACAGACACTGAGAGATCCTGAAAGGCAGTCAGGCAGGCAGGCAGGCAGGCAGGCAGGCAGGCAGGCAGACAGACAGATACCTCCCATAAGATAGACTGAGATCCAGAAAGAGTAAACTCTATTTGAAAGGACTGAATGAGGCTTGAATTTTGGAAAGAAAAAGGGGAGACAGGGAACCCCAATGTTGGTTTCCACAATTCTGTCCCATGAAGCTAGACCTGGATGGAGGCTCCAGAAGAACCTATGAGTTAAAGCAAAATGCTTTGCACATAGTAAATGCTTAATAAATGCTTATTCATTCATTTATTCATTCAATCTCAGAACACACTCATGCCCCATGATAAGTCTTCAGCAAATCCATACCCCTATATCCAGGACAAAGTCCTCTCCTGCTCCTCTATTTCCCCTACTAAACTCCTACATGCTTTGAAAATATCCTGTCTCATTGGCTAGGACCCTGGTTGACTTGGTCACTGCAGCTGGCCTTGCCAGGGCTCACAAATTAAGATACAGGCTTGTGTCTAGGGCCTCCTTTGAGACCCAGCTTTCCTGCCTCCTCATAGGTAATATATTTTGATCAGTTTCTTCAGCATTCTGGCCCCTGGTCCTGCATCTTCCTCTCACAACTATTGCCACTATGCTGATACCTTTTTGTCCTAATCTGATCCTCTCTTTCCCCCTACTAGACAGATTGAGATTTGAGCAAGGATATTTACTTATAGGGACAAGAGTGAATTAGTAGATAATATAGAGGGTACAAGAAGTGATCATGAAAAAGAAATAGCTGGATGCTTCTAATAACTCCGTAGTAATTATAAGCTAGGTATTCCTCAAGCCTCATCTGAGATTCAAGCTTAGCTAGCTGCTTGGCTTTATGCCTTCTAACTTGAAGCTAGAGTTATCAGTCTTGTGTTTCTCCTCTCTTCATCTCTAACCATTCCTTCTTCTTGGTACCTTTCATCTTGGACTTGGCTCTGCCCAGCTTCTTACAGGGCTCATCCTATTAGCAAGTGAAAAAAACCCATGCCCCTTTCACTATCAATCAGCAAGAATCATAGGCACCTATCTGGTCTCTGATGCTCTGCCTACACATTCCCACATGATCATTAACTGTATCAGTAACTATGCCACTGTCCCGTCCCTCAGCTAAGCTTTCCTGAACCAGGTGTACAATTATACAAGTTATTTTAAATGCAGTCCAACAAAACATATCCCCAAATTCATAAGAACATCCCCTTTCTTCACATTCTCACAGCTCAAAATATTTCCAGATACACATTGGGCAGAGAAATGAAATTCTGCCCAATCCAGATATGATTTTTCTGCAGACTTCTTCATCCAAAGATTTAAACATACACATATTCTCTCTCTTTCCATCTCTGTTTGTCTCTGTCTCTCTCAAAATTATATATAGACCTCTGGACATCACCACACATTTCCTGAGTAAATACAGACCTCAATGTATGTGAGCTATGATGTATAGGAAGGGAGACAGGGAGAAACAGAGACATCTTCAATTCAAAAACATTTATTAAGTGCCTACTATGTGCAAAGTACCATGCTAAGTTCTGAGAGTACAAAGATAAAATAAAGCCCAGTCCTTGCTCACAAGGAGCTTATAATCTAATATGGGGAATAAGACGGGGATGCAAATAACCATAACACAAGGCAGAATGTGACAGGTACGCTGGAGAGATGAGAATATTGAGGTCAGAGTGATCGTTTCCAGCTGGAGGAGGCCAGGAAGGGCTTGATGGAGGAGCAGCCTCAGATTTGTGTTAATGCAAAGGAAAGGTTTTAAAGACAGAACTGGGCATGGGGAAGGGCAGGGGAGGGAAGGGAGTCCATTCCAAGGATGAGGAGTAGCTTGAACAAAGATGAGAGACAAGAGAGAGCAGGATGTGAATGGGGTGGATACAGAACAATGAAGAATCCATTTTGGCTGGAACATAAAGTATGTTAAGGGCAATAATGTAAGACATGGAGAATGGAAATGTAGGTTGGAATCCGATCATTGAGGACCAGGACCATCAGTGTAAGGAGCAGCTAGGTGGTACAATGGATAGAGCACAATGGATAAGCCTGGAGTTAGGAAGACCTGGCTTTTGAGCCTTTCCTGGAATGTTTACTAGCTGTGTGTCCTTAAGTAAGTTACTTAACCACTCTGTGCCTCAGTTTCCCCATCTGTAAAGTAGGGGTCACAATAGCACTTACCTCCCAGGGTTATTATGAGGATCAAATGAGTTAAAATATGTAAAACGCTATATAAACACTAACTTTTACTGTTGTTATTGTCTGTATCTTATTTGTAGGCCATAAATTGCTGCTGAAGATTTTGGAGTGAATGAATGATAGTAGGGGTGGGTGCATTAAGAAGATTATTTGGGAAGGAGAATAAAGGAACAGATTGGAAAGGGGAGAGATTAGAGCAAGAAGACCACTTAGAAGGCTATGTAATAGGGGGGAAGGAAAGGGAATAAACATTTACATAGTGTCTACTGTGTGCCAGGCACTGTGCTAACATAATAATTACAATAAATTTGCAATAGACAATTAACAACAGTTAAAATAATAAAAAATCATGAGATGACGAGGCATTGAGCTAGGATGGTTACCATGGGAAAAGAACAGAGGGAGGAAGAGTAGAGGATAGGAATTGGTAACATTAGAAATGTAGGGAAGGGAGAAGGAAATAAGCATTTACTAAGCACTTACTAAATGCTAGGCACTGAGCTAAGCACTTTACAAATATGATATACAGCATAAATTGACAAATAAGTGTAGAGAGTAAGGTAAAAGGTGACTTGGAGATTTTGAGCCTGAGGAAATAGGAGCATAATGGTTCCTCAACAGAAGTGGGGAAGTCAGGAGGCGTAGGCTTGGGGAAGGAAGCTAATTGTTCTGATCTATACCTGTTAAGTTTGGGATGCTAGTAGAACATCCATCAGGCAGTTGGAAATATGGGGCTGGAGCTTGGAGGAGAGGCTGCAGCTAGAAATAGAAATTTGGGAGTCATCCACATACTGTAGATGTGTTAATTAACTCCACAAGAGTGGATTAGAACAGTAAAGAGAAGATTGTACAGAGAAGAAAAGGAGGGCTGAGGACAAACTTTGTGGGACACCTAAGTTTAAAGAAGAAATGAAGGTAAGGAGCCAGTAAAGGAGACAGAGCACGAAGGGTCAGAAAGATGGGAAGAGAACTCAAGATGCAGTGTTACTGCAGCCACAGGAACAGAGTGTGGCAAGAAGGGGCAAGTGTGGGAGTGAATGCCTGTAACTTCTGCTACTAGGGCGGGAAGCTGGGGCTGGTAGATTGCTTGAGCTGGGGAGTTCTAAGCTGAGGTAGGGCCTAAGTCCATGGCTTTCCACACCAAGTTAGGCACCAATATAGTAAGCCCCCGGGGCTCCATTTGCTACCAGGCAGCCTAGAGAGGGGCAAACCACTCAGGTCAGAAACAGAGCAGGTTAAAGCTTTTCTGCTCATCAGTAGAGGAATCAGCTCTTTGAATGGCCAGTGAACTTCCAGTCTGGGTGAGATGGGGAGACCCACTTTCAAAGAGAGGATGAAAGACAGAGACACAGAGACACAGAGGTAGACAGAGACAAAGAGAGATAGAGATAAACAGAAAGAAGGGCAATGGTCAAACACTGCAAAGATGTCAGGGATGATGACGACTGAAAAAAACTCCTTTGGGTTTGTTGATAAGCAAGAGGTCATAAATGACTGGAGAAGTGGTTTCAGTAGAGTGGTGGAAATGGAAGCCAGACTGCCAGGAGCTAAGGAGTGAGTGAATGGAAAGGAAATGGGAGTAGCAAATATGGACTACTCTTTCCAGAAATTTAAAGGTAAAGGGAGAAGAGAGATAGAGGGATAGCTTGAGAGGGGTATCAGGGTCAAGGGAAGGTTTTCATAGTATAGGGGAATGAATATGTTTGAGCATGTTTGTAGGTCAAGGAGAAGAAACCATAAGAGGGGTGAAGATTTAAGAAACATAATATAGGGAATGATTGATGGGTCAAGGTTAAAGAAACGTAGGAACATAGATTTAGAGCCAGAATGGACTTCAGAAAGATCACTTTAATCCAAACCCTAGATGAGGAAATTAAAGACCAGTGAGGGGAAATGATTTGCTCAAGATCACCTAGATAATAAGTAGCAGAGTTGGGTTTTGAATCCAGGTAATTTGGCTCCAAATTCCTCTATCTCTCAACTATATCACGCTCTAGTAGTTCTGGAAAAGAAGAGAAGGGGATGAGATGAAGGGTATAAGAGTAAGGGTTAGCGTCGGCACACCTGAAACTCTACTGAGACTGGAAGGAACAGGTGGAAGGACAGGAGGGGCATGAAAGAAAGATTTAGAAGTATGGGATAAGAGAGTTTATGTCAGTTGGTCATCTCAGTAAGGTGTTTTGTCTATCTGTCTGGGATCATAGATGTTGATTAGAAGAGAAAGAAGAGGCCATCTAGTTCAGTTCCTTCATACATGTAACCTGGCTCAGAGAGGTTAAATTACTCGCAATCCAGGAAAAGTCAGAGGCAAGATCTGAATCCTGGTTTTCTAACTCTGAGACCAGGGTACTCTATATTGTGCCACTGCCTATCTACTTATTTACACCTAAAATGTTTATGGTATACCAAGAGACACAACCATGGCTCGATCAAACATTTATTAGCAGATACAGATGGACAAGAGCCAAATTTCCTGTGTGTAGGCCTTTACCACACTGGTCCTGACCATGGCAACCTGCTCCAACAAAGAGCCTGGCTGCAGAAAGGCTGTGTGAGCTATGTTCAAGGAAGTTTCTATTTAATATGACTTCACTTTTCCTCTTTTCAGTGGTTCTGCCCATTATGCCTTTGAAATTCATGGCCTCTCCTCACAGGCCTACTCCCAGATACATTCATAACTACCTGCCAATAAAAAAGCCTGCACAGGCCTTCAGCCACTTTCAGGAACTACTGGGCTCTAGAGACAGGAAGTCAGGCTGGTCCAGGACTAGTGGACCTTATTGATCCCCAGCTCTGCTCTGCAGCCCTCAACTAGGGACTTCTTCCTTCTCCCCCTGCCCCCAACCACAGGCCCTGAGACAGAAGCCTCAGGTGTTACCCTGTCCACATCCTAATCTCCCTGCTTGCTTTAAGTCAAATCAGCACAACACCCAGAGGGACATCTCCGTGAAATGCTTGCTGAGAAAATAAACGACTTTTTCAGGCTACGGCTTCATCCAAATCAGAAGGGAGATATTAAAGAAGCTGATAGGAATCTGCCATTTGCAGCCACACAACCCACCTAGCATAACTGTATTTGCTGGACACTACAATTCACTGGGTGTCTAATTAATTCAGTGCAAACTTCTGGCCTCTGGCAACCAGACACTTGGTAGGATAACACATACACACACACACACAGACACACACACACACAAACATACACACATTCATTCTCTCCCCACCTCCCTGGCCCCCAGCAACAGACATGTGACTTCACTAGGATCTGCTGACAGATCTACTGGATCTACTCGGTGACTAATTTCCTTTTCTCAAGCTGCAGCCAGCAACATTTAATGGACAACAATGTTCCAAAACACAGATGGAAGTTATTGGATAAAGATGTAAAAGGAGGACTGGCCAATGTGGGTCCACTCCCCTGTCACGATGATAAGATACACGTTCTTATATCTCTATTGCTATTATAAAAACACATTTTTTGTCTGGTGCCACCAAAAGCCCCAGGAAGCCTCCCACCCATCCAACCGAGCCAGTATTAATTGGATGCTTAAAGATGCATGTTTCAGCGGCAGTAAATTGGGTACACTGCTTTCTCAGAGTCACGGATGGACACACAGACACACTCCAACTGACCCATTGCTTTACCACCACCCCAGGCTTGCATTGGGTCACACCATCATAGTACCCTTTAGGAGAGAATTTTCCCCACCAATCTCCCATAGCAACCTCCCCCACCACACCGTACCCTGTTGAAGGCCTGGTCCAGAGGCTTCTGACTCATTCTATAACACCACTTCTCTCCCACAGAGCCCAAACTGATAGGTCCTATACTAATAACCCCACAGCTATGATTGCTGCAGATTCTAATAACACTGTCCATATTATGAGTGCCAATGCCAATAATGCTCTGGGTATTATCACTGTGAACACCAATAACTCCTGCTGAGATTGTCTCCAATAATGCCAGCACATACTGCAGCGATTGTCCTCACTAATGCCCGCCCCTGTGACATTGTTAGAGCTGAAGAATGGGCTGCACTGTGCTGAGAGGCAGGGCTGGAAGGGAAAATCAACCTCCTTTAAGCCAAGAGGAAGCTCCTTGAGGCCTGCCCCCAGGGGCTGGTGCTTCTGATCTCAGTAATTTTCTGCCAGCCTAATAGGTCTGCCCTGGGCCCAGGGTGGCCCCTCATGGAAAATGCCAATCATATCCAATGCCAAATGGAGACTAAGGTGGTCAAAGTGGAGCTACTCTCCTAGGGAGCTCCTAGGAGGTGAATGTGATCCTTAAGTTCTTCCACTACCCCCCCCACCAACTCCCATATTTCTGCCCGGGCCTGGTGCCCTTCTTGCCTCTGTCCTCTATCCCATCAGACCCAGTGAATGAATCACTCAGATATACCTGGGCATTTGAGTAGCCCCTCCCTTAGCCCCCTTGTGCAACCTGACTACAGGCTGCTTTGCTACCTTTGCCTGGCTGGGGAGTTGGGCTACATCATCTTGACATATAATTATCTGCACTCTTCTTAATCATCTGTGTTGCTACCTAACACAGGCCAGAACTGGTTGCATGTCATAGGCCCTGAATGAGGGCTGGGAAAGAACTGCCCCCACTGCCCCCACTTCTCCTCTCTATCCCTACTGGAGTACTCCAGTGCTACTGAGCTCAGAGGTAATCCTGCAGAATTGACTGGGTTGGGGACACTCAGCCTCCCCCATGGAAACTCTCTCCTTCACACAGGAAGGGAAACTATCTTTTCATGTTCACTCTTTTTTTTTTTTTAATCACAGAACCCTTTGGCAGTCTGGGAAGCATGTGGACTTCTCAGAATAATGTTTGTTGTCTACTTTCATAATTGAAGGAAATATCAAACTTCACTTAGAGGTTAATGAAAATAAAGATGTAATTATTTTCCATCCAAGTTCACCCCCCCTGAAATCTATCCATCTAGTAGATGTCCCTTTTCTAAAGTAAGGGAAATCTTTGAGAGAGAGAGAAAGAGAGAGAGAGAAAGAGAGCACTAAGCTTCTGACCTCTCCTCCCACTCATCGGTTCAGTTTCCAAGCGTACGTTGGTTGCAAGGATGTTAAAAAATACAGAAAACAAATATGGTCAGTTCTCCAGGGAGAAAAGTAGTCTGCTGTAGCCAGGCCTAGCATACAGTGACTATACTCTCCTGACTTTCCCAAAACCTGCTGCAAATTGGTTCAAAATGGTTCAGTCTACCAGGGCCTGAAGAGCAGAGAAAAGACCTATTCAAGGAGTAAGGAGGGAAAAAAATTGGTGCCATGGCTTGCCCCTATCTTCTTCCCCACCTCCAACGCCCACACCCTCCAACAAGTAGCCCAGGCTTCAATATATCAAAGGTGGGTATCGGGGAGAGAAGATACATCCCTGGATCTCTGGAATTGGAGGGGATAGGAGGGACAAGGCAGGCTTAAGTTCACATGCTTTTGAGGATTTGAAATAGATTTCAAAATCCCTCAGTTCATTAATGTACCAAGGATTGGAAGGGAATGAGAATCCCCGAGACTGGGTGGAGGCGATGAATATATACTCCTTTTCTTCTCTGATGCAACCCCTCCCTCCCCATAACTCAGCCCTGGCTAGATTTGGGGGTGGGAACCTTTTTCTCACCACCTCTAACCCTAACGTAGCACTGCAGCCGCCAAAACAACCAAAATGAAATTTAGTGAGTGGTGTAGCCCGTGGCAGCCAAATGGGTTTGGATATTTCAGAAGAAGGCGAAATAGAGCCAGACAAGCTGTTTCCCTGTGAAACGAGGCCATTAGGGCTCCTGGAAGGAATCCAGCACTGGGTCATCACTGTCTTGCCAGGCCTGGGGCTCTCACATACTGTCCCCTCAGCCTGGGGTCTGGGGGCCTCACCTGTACTGTCCCTTCAGACGGGGGGCCTCAAATACACTGTCCCCCACAGTGTTCCTCAGTGTTATACACAGAATGCCCTCGTACACTTTGGACCCTTAGCTTGAAGCCTGATGCCCTCATACATGCATACATTCTGTTCCCTTAGAGTAGGGCCTGGGGCCCTCACACATACTGTCCCTTCAGCTTGAGGGCCTTAAACTCACTGTCCCTTCAGCCTGGGGCTATCATACATACTGTGCTCATAGCTTAGGGCTCTCACACACAGTGTCCCCTCAGTTGGGGGTCTGGAATCCTGGAACACATTGTCCCATCAGCCTAGGGCCCTCACGCCTACTGCTCTCATATCTTGAGGCCCTCGTATGTTGTCCCCTAGTCTGGAGTCTGGGGGCTCTCACACACTGTCCCCTCAACCTGGAATCCTCATGCAGGACCATCTCAGCTTGAGGCCTTCTCATACATTGTCCCCTCAGGTTTGGGGTATTCACATACACTACCCCCTCAGTCTGGAGCTCAGAGCTCTTATACACACAGCCTCTCCACTGGGAGGCTTCAGATCCAATGGGAGTATATAGACAGGGCTTTGGGGAATGTGGAGTCCCAGAGGTTAGGGCCTCTGCTAAGGCTATAAGACTACCACCCAAGTTGACCCAGACAACCCACCCAAATGATCTCAAAGAGTCTACAGTTTTCTAGTCTTTAAAGGGGTAAGTGGCTTTGCCAAAGGGAGGAAAGGGAAAAGTTCTCAGAAAGAACCGAAATGTCTTTCAGCCCTCCTTCTTTCCTTCCTTCCTTCTTCCCTCCTGCTACCTTGACTCCATGTTGGAATGTTCCAAGCAAATGGAAGAAATAACTCCTTCATATGGGGCTAAGAAAGACACCTCCTCCTCCCCTCCACTTGCCCTATTGTTTGAATAAGATAGTTTTCTAGATGTCACAGAGAAAGAACACCAGAACCTGTTGTGGAAGGCATCTTCCCCCACCTTGACAGTCTGGGGTCAAGTAAAAGGAATAGAAGGAAATAGGAGGAGATTTGGTACTAACTCCTTGGCTTTATGTGTCTTCTGCCCCCCTAAACCTTCTTAAGGCAAGTGGTTCCTGTTCCACCTAGAATCAAATGGGGATAGGGTGAGTCCCAATGGTAGGTGAGCAGATGGCGGAGCTGATGGCAGAGCCTGTACCCTACCTCTGTCTGGAAGCCAGCAGGGCAGTGGGGGGACCAGGCTTCACTACTAAAACTGATCTCACCAAAGAGCAGCTGCGAGGCCAGGCCAGAAACCGGAGCCCTGCGTCCGGGGACAAAGCACGCAAAGAGGAGGCCAAGCCTTTATCCTCCTCCCTACCTTCATCACGTTTCCTCTTCTCACCATTGGAGCGAGGAATCCCCAGGATCCCATTGATAGAGTATGAGCCCACAGGGTCATTGGAGGCGCTGGAGACAGGAGGGGAGGCCGTGCTGGGAACTAGACAAGGCAAAATGGAAAGGTTGTCAGGAGAGCGGAACTCCAAGTCAGGGTGGGCAGCATTCAGAGGGAGCTCTGAATGAGCTCCTCCTCTTTCTGGTGCTCAGTACGGGCCATCCCCATTGCTACATTTCAACCCCATTGAATTCTCCCTCATCTCCACAACCTGCTCTGTGGTAATGATGGCCCAAATCCAGTCCTCCCCTACATCACAGAGACAAGACATTCCCCAGGATATTGCAGGGATCGCAGGAGGGATACAAGACAGGTCAAGATAAATTCAACTAAGGACAGAAAGTTTAGCAAAGTCCATTCCACAGATATCTCCACATATAGCCTGGTCCCATTTCCTAGGCCAGATGAAATCACCTTGGAGCAAGCATCTTTTTCCTTAATTCTTACCCTTCAAGGCTGAATTCCACACCATGGACTTCAGGTAGACAGAAAAGAGGTGGGAGAGGGAGAAATCCAAAACACACAGAAAATGAGAAAGAAAGATAGAGACCTAGGAAGAGGGAGGGTGAGGGAGTAAGAGAGAGAGAGAGAGAGAGAGAGAGAGAGAGAGAGAGAGAGAGAGACGTAGGAATGGGGAAAGACAAGGAAGAGGAAAGAAAGGGGAAAAAATTGGGGAAGTAGAGATTGAGAGAAGGAAAGAAAAGAGGAATAAATGAGGCAGGAAGAAGGAATAAAAGGGGAGAGAATAAGTGAGGGTGAGACAGACAGCAAAGGGACAGTATTAGATGGGGGGGGAGGCAGATGGAAGGAGAAAGAGAAGTAAAGTTATAAGAGAAAGGAGGAAGGAGAGAAAAAGTATTAGGAAGAGGACTTTCCAAAGGGGAAATCCTAAGCTCCTTGGTGCCCTCTGAGAAAAGCAGGGGAGTCAGACCACGTGGATGGGCCTCAGTTCCGCCTCTCCCTTTGCTACTGGGGTGCATCTCACAGGAACATCTCTCATTTACATTGCTTTGGGATTCTCCCAGGACTCAAGATCTGTGTCTCCATTCCCTGAGTCCTCTTATCTTCTTACCTATGGTATGGCCAGGAGCTGTCACTCCTGTCCCCGTCCCATCTGGAGTTGGGTGGAAAGGTTGCTGAACTTTGGTCCGGATGATCCTGAAAAAAACAGTGGGGCAAGTCAGAAACTTGGTTGACCCCAGGCCAGCCCAGCCACTGGCTTTGATTTTTTTTTTGTTCTCCCTAGTGCCTTTGCTCCCTCTCTCATCCATCTGCTCCCGGTTGCCCAGCCCTGACCGCTGCAAGGAGCAAGTTTTCCCTCCCATTGGCTCTGCCAATCCAATCTACTGTAGCTCAGTGAGGAAGCAATCTGCATTCTGTCCTACCCCTGGGCATCATCCAAATTGCAGCTTCATTTCAGCAGCAAGGATAGAAAAGGCAGACCAGGCAACAGCCCTGTACAGCACAGCGTGGCATAGTAGCTAGCATTTTCTATTCGGGGAGGTTGGGGGAGGGAGACTTGCACTCTCTGTGGTGGAGTTCCATTCTCTCTCCCACTCATCACAGCCTTTGAAGTAAACAAGGCACATAGGAATTGGCAGGGGGGATGCCAGAGACAACAAGCAGGCTTCTTCCCATGAAAGTGCTCCGATGAATAGAAAGGCAGAGGGGAAGGCACCCTAGCTAAAAAGGGAGATGCCAGGATGTTTCCAGGGACCAGAAAGTTGCTTAGTAGAAAGTAAGAACAGGGCAAAAGATGGTTCACAGGTGTGAACCCCTGTCTTGGCCCTTTGTCTCATGGCTGAAAGATCACACATGGTTCTAGTGTGAAGCCTTCACCAGAGGAAGTTGTTCTGTTGTTACTCCTACCTATTGGCCTCAGACAGGCCAGAGCCCCAGTCTGGATCCACGAGAGATCAGTCTCTACTTGGAGAAAAAATTTTCCCCACATAGCTATTCATGTCGGTTTACCCAGCTGAATGACCTTCCTGGGCCTATTTGTTTGTCAGTAAAACAAGCAAAATCCAAATTGTATCTCTACTCCCCTTCTAGTGTAAAATCCCATGATCCCATGAATTCAATTCATTTCAACTCAATCAACATATACTAAGTGTCTACTATGTATAAAGCTTTGGCTGGAGCTCTGTGAATTGACCCAGAGTAAAGAGAACCAGATGGAGTCTCAGGTTTGAGGGATGATTCAAGTTTCCAGGGTGTCTGACCACCAGCCTGGAAGACCCAGCTAAGGACCAATACTTAAGTGAGGGTCTCTCAAAACATTGGACCAATCAGGTGCCCTGGGAAAACCTTTCTCAATGAAACCATTACTTTTTCAGGTGAATTGGTCTTAATTAACACAATAATAACTTAAATAACTCAATAATAACCTGAGATTTGTAGAGCACTGTGCTAGATGATGGGGAGAAACAAGTAAGAGAATACTGTCTTCAAGGGACTCACAACCTACTTTCGAAAGTAGGATAAAAAGATAATCCAAAATACAAAACCATTTATGATAAGGCCAAATGAATGAAATAGAGAAGAAGTGCTATAGGAGTTTATGGAAGGGGGAGAGCACTGAGGTTGATACATCTGGGAAATGTCTGAAAAAGAAGGAGGTAAGAACTAAGCTGGGTCTTAAAGGCAATGCATGACTTAGATGAGAGGTTAGGCGGGTGTGGTAGAAAACGCACTGAAGGCCAAGTATAGTGGCATACACCTGTACCCTGGGAGTCTGAGACTGGTGCATCAACTGAATTCAGGGGTTTGGAGCTGCAGTAAGGCTAAAGTCTATTGGGGTATCTGTGCTCAGTCTGGCAGTAAAAGGAAAGCCCCCAGAATGGAGAAGAAAGGAAGGAAGGAAGGAAGGAAGGAAGGAAGGAAGAAAGAAAGAAAGAGAAAGAAAAAAGAGAAAGAAGGAAGAAAAAGAAGGAAGAAAATAGAAAGGAGGAAGGAAGGAAAGAAAAAGGACAGAAAGAAGAAAGGAAAAAGGAAGGAAAGAAAAAAAGAAAATTTCACTGAATTGGGAATAGGGAGTCTTGGGTTCTAGTTTCTGTTGTGCCATTAATTGGCTATGTGACCTTCAGTTATTAATTACTTTGGTTACCAGTTTCTTTATCTATAAAATAAGGGGTTATAGAATATCAAAGGTACCTTCCTACTCTAGAAGTATTTGTGTCTTATTATAAAATGAGAAAGGAGGAGGGGGAGGGCAGTAAAAGTAGAGGGAATGGCAGGAGTGCAGATATATAGGCCGGAGTGTGCATGGGGCATTTTTCTCATATGGTCTAAATCTATTGTTTTCTGGGAGAAAAGGAATATGGGTGTTCTCCTTCAACATGTGGAGCCGTCAATGAAGAGCCTTCGAAGGACTGGGGGTGAGGGGAAGGCAAACAAAGCAGTGCTTTAGAAATATGAATCTACCAGCAAAGCATAGGACAGATTGGAATGAAGAGCCCAGAAGGAAGGAGACTGGTTAGGAGGCTGTAGTAACAGAACAGGCAGGAGGAGACAAGGGTCTGGACTGAGGTGTTGGCAGTGGGCATAGAAAGAAGGGGACAGATTGGAGAAACGTTGCAAAGGAACAATCAAAGTGAAGATTCCACAGGACTTGTTTGGTCACTGGTGAGATGTGAGGAGGGGAGAGGAAGAATCAAAGATAATTCTGAGGTTTCAAGCCTGGGTGACTAGGAGATTAGTGGCACTATTGACAGAAAGAAGGAAATCAGGAAGAGGGAAAGATGATGAGTTTGATTTTTAAATATGCTGTGTTTGAGGTTGGGCTGGGATATTGAGGTGGAGATATTCAGTGGGCCATTAAATATCTAAGACTGGACCTTCGAAAGAGAGAGCTGAGCTGGAAATGTAAATTTAGAGATCATTTGTATTCAAGTGAGAAACTCAGCCTAGCCCGTGGTGGAGAGAGAGATGGCCTCGGAGCCTTGAAGACATGATGTCAAGGCATGCCTGTGACACACACTCGCTGTGTGACCCAGGGCAATTCATTTAACCTCTCAGGGCTCTGAAGGCCAGAGGTGTCAAACACGGCCCACCAGCTATATTCAGCCTGAAACACTGTTGAGTATAGCCGCAGATTGAAATGTAATTGGAAAATATTTTTAAAATAAATAAGAATACAATGAAACACATATAATATTATATTTTAAAACTAAGTCGATACCTGGCCCTCAGGGATCCTTATGTACAGATTAGGGGCCTCATTTCTATTTGAGTTTGACAACACTGCTCTGGGTAACTATCTAAGCTTATGAGCTGGTAGGAGGAATTTCCTCTTCTGAGAGGTGTGTATACTTAGGAGATCACAGATGATTCAGTCTCTATCCCTCTTCCTATCCTTGCATTTCTTTAAATAGTTGAAGTCAGTGGAATGGATGACATCTCAGAAGGAGAGAGTATAGCTAGAGGAGTAGAGGGCTGACATCTGAACCATTAGGGATACCCATATTAAGAGAGTAGGATGAGGACATGGAGCCAATGAGAGACAGGTAAGGGAGAACCAACATAGTGTAGTATCGTGGAAGTCAAGGAAGAATTAAGAAAGCGGAAGCAGTCTACAATGTTAAATGCAACAATTAGGCAGGATAAGGAATGGAAAAAGGCCTGGGAATGAGATTATTGATGACCGTGGAAAAAGCAGTTTCAGTAGCACTGTGAGAGAGGTGAGTACAGGCTTTGGATTGCAAGGGATTAAGTAAGAAATGGGAAGGGAGGCAATAGAGAGAGACTTAGACTATCCTTTCGAAAAGTTTTATAGTAAAAGGAAAGAGGTTTGGCTCTAGCACAAAGTGGCAGAAGGCTAGAGGGAAAGAGGTTGGTTAGTTTTTTGTTTTTGTTTTTGTTTTTGTTTTTGTTTTTAGATTAAGAGGGGCATGAGCATGTCCATGGGAGAATGGGGAGGGGGGGCCAGGGGAGAGAGGGAATGCTTGATCATGCAAGAGAAGGAATCTCTGATTTGAGGTAAGGCCTGAGAGAGGGTGGAAGGGGTGGAAGGGGTCAAGATCATCGGACAAGGGTTTTCACATTGGAGAGAAAGGGAATATTTTCCTCAGAGTGGAGGAAAGGGACTCAGGAATGGTTAAAAACAGTTATTTTTTGGTTATTTTTTCAATGCAAGGAGGCTAAATGAGAAAGCTTAAATGACCTTTCTCTAAAGGAGGAGGTGAGGTCATCTGCTGAGAAAGAGGGAGTTTGGGCTTAGGCTTGAGAGCCTAAAGAAGAGCCTAAAGAAAATGGTGGGAATGTCCCAGGCAGCGAACATGAGCTGAATAAAAGGATTACTGAACAGTCAAGGCAAGTTGTTCCCAACCCAGGAGCAGAAGCCTCTGGAGCCTGACAATGGGCATTCTAGGAGGCTCTGAGGTCCCTGGGTTTGGAATACAGACTCTAGTCGATGGGCGATGGGCCAAGGGTGAGAAATGCTGAGACTCTGAGAAGATAAGGCTGCAAAGCTTAGCACAGATAGGGCCCTCCTTGCTGGGCTGCTTGTCTTTGTTACCCAAAGCCTCTGACCCCCGGGGCACTGGTGCAGATTTAGCTGAGTCAGAAAGTGATGGAAAATCACTATTCTCCGACAGCAGTTTGGTGGTGCGTGGTAAAGGGGCTCCTGCTGTCGGGTTACTAATAGTCCTGGTGTCTCTGCCACCACCCCAGCGGGCACTCGGTCCCTGGGGCTGATCTCAGGATGCTGGAGAGCTGGCAGTGTTGGGAAAAACAAACCCACCACTCTCCTAAAGGCCAAGCCTTTCCTTCTTGCATCCAAGAAAAGAATCCAACAACCAAGAGCAACATGAGGGATAAGTATAAGCCACAGGATCATAGACTTAGTGTTGAGAAGGAATTTAGGGGTCATCGAGTTCAACCCCTTCATTTTACCTATGAGAAAACTCAGGGAGATTAAATAATTCACCCAGTCACAGATAAGGAATAGCAATCAGGGTTGGAATCCAGGACTTCTGACTCCAAACCAAGTGTTTTTTCCACGGCATAGCATTACTTGTTTCCACCCCTTTGAAGGGCATAAGAGTGAAGCAATGCAGCAAATTAATTTGCCTACTGCATGCTCCTCCAAGAGAGGATCTCTGGTCTTCAGTTTTCTTGTTTGTAAAATGAGAGGGTTTAGGCTACATGACTTCTAAGAG